ATACGATACACTGCTAAACTGTACTTTTGCTGATCCTGACGCTTCCATCAACATCATTTTTTGGAACTCGATCGACCACCATTTTCACCCTATAGGTAGCCGCATTTCATTATTGTTGTAATGACGTGAGGCTACATGGTTCAATATCTACTAGTACTCAAATGCTACTTTTTAGCATCATAATATCAGGTTTGGAAGACTGGGTTGCAACCCACACCATCTGACATTTACTCTTTCTTATGCATGTGGTTTATATGGATTTGATCACAGCTAGACTCTTTAGGATAAAATCTTTGCTATAAAAGCTAATCTTAAAAGTTATATCCTAATAAAATTTGGATTAAAAAATGATAATATTTTAAAATCTATTTTTTCATTTTATCTATTTACTTTCCTGCATGGCCTTTAGACTAGTTTTAAAATGATCATAAAATATATGAATATAGCCCCCTTACGTATTAATAAGGCCTCCAGGATTTTGATGTCTTAGATAATTACTTAAATGCCACATAACCCGAGAAAAGTATTCATACTTTCCTTTGTTATTAGCCCATCATATGTTTTATACAATTAGTTAGGTTTTTAGTGTGTTATAGTATGTTATATGCTTGCCCAATCTTGACAGGATTAAAATTCCTTTGTAGGGCAGCTTAGCTATGTGATGAGTTGCCATTTCTCTCTTTCTATATAAGTCTTTTGTCCATACTAATGGTAGATAAAATCCATATTCCATTGTTTTGGTCTATACAGAGTCATAAGAATTTAATCATCTATTCCTTAGACTTCGGATCTGCTGGGTCACTTCGGATGATGTAACACATCAGTTACTGATGAAGAGATCTTAGGCTAAGTTGGGTTGACTACCTTCACAACTTAGTAGATCTCAGGTTCTAATAGACTTGGAGGATGGGTCCTTAGAGTCCCGACATGCTATCTCTACCTGTTGATCTAACTTTTTAGGCACAATTATTTCATTTATCAAGTCTTTTGTAGGCACAAAATGTAGGCCTTCTTAGCTCAGCAGTGACTGTTAGTAGGGTTACAATGATTCACTATCTGCCTCGTGGCTAGTTATGCCTTATGACTAGAGAATCTCTCCATACTAGGACTGTTAAAATTTTCCTTGGTTGCTTATATTTCAGGACTATCAAATACAACTCCTTCAATCGTGTGTTTTCCTAGGAATTCATTAGGATATAATTGATCATAAGGATACATCATTATGGTAGTTCTCTTTGAACACATAGCAAAATAAATTTGATTTTGCATTCTTTTTTGGTTACAGTGGTCTTTCAATAGAATCTTTCTTGTATATTTTTTTTGGTTGAGTATATTTTGTTTACCTTAGATTGATCTTCTCAGTTTATGTTATAAGTATTTTTCTAATTAAATATCTTTGTGGCTTCTGATTTTTATTTATTCTTAAACTTTGTCCATTTTCAATCTATCATTTATTCCTTTGCTTCCTTAAATAGGAGTGGCCTAGTGACCCACCTTAAAATTACCTATTTTATATAGCCTAGTGACCCGCCTTAAAATTACCTATTTTATATACACATTTTATACCCATTTTTTAGGATATTATGCTTTAATGAAAGGTATTTTATGTATTTTTTATTACAGATTCAAGAAAAAGAATTTAAGAGCAGAAAGGAGCAAAAATAAGTCAAAATGGAGCAAAACAAGCCAAACCAAAGAAAATTGCCAAAATCAGTCGAACTGGCGCCTAAGCGGCAAATGAAGATTGTGGATGGGAATTACAGATTCAAGAAAAAGAATTTAAGAGCAGAAATGAGCAAAAATAAGTCAAAATGGAGCAAAATAAGCCAAACCAAAGAAAATTTCCAAAATCAGTCGAACTGGCGCCTAAGCGACAAATGAAGATTGTGGATGGGGCCTAAGCGCGACAGTTTTAGCATCTAGGCGCCAGAGTCGGTTTCTAGAAGATCCATTGAATGATGCCAAATTTTGAAGAGATGTCTGAAGCAACCATTGGTGATTTTTAAGGCTCTATAAACGTAGAGAAAGAGTTATAGAGCCATTTTGAGGAGGGGAGGCACCCATATAGAGACCGCTCTCACCCTGTTAGCTTCAACAATGTCAGAAGCAAGCCACAGATCACTGGCCATTTGGCCCTTCAATACTCGGTTGGTAATCCCCTCGGTAGTATATTTGGGGGGCCAACAATTGAGGTCATGTGAGCATTACTCTGACAGTGTGTAATTCCTTCAGCAATGACTTCATCTTGTCTGCCAAAGTATCTGCCAGCTTAGTGGGAATCCCCTCCGGTGCATGAGCCAACCACAAATGCTTCTTCCATTCCTTCACTTTGTTCTCAACTCTAAGCAGTTGGAGGTTCTTCCCAAAGGATAAAATGGCAAACCTGTTCTTGTCATTTTTAAAAGAAAAAAAAAATAATCAATAAGTCACTCGATCAAGGTATTTTCTCACGGTGGCAGAAGATTACAAAATTCATGATGGCTCCAATTGAGTTCAGGATAAATTGTGAGGGGATGAATCCATATCGGTTGAAGATGCTCCATAACTTAGAGCAAATAGGCAACTACAACTCATTTTTGAACTAATCTATGTAAAAAATCAGGTCATGGCTAAACTTTTTTGTCAATCGATCAAATTCTTGAACTTGTCACAGAGTGATTGTTCTATCAAAGACGTAGGACTTCTACAATTCCATCACATTCGTCGCCGTCAAGTTGGATATGCTCATGGCAGGATAAGTCCCGAAGAGTGTTGGAGAATGCTTCAGATACATTGAAATATCACAAGTGAAGAGAATTGAGAAAGGAATTTGAAGAAGAAGCACGAAAGTGTAAAAAGTAAAATGATGGTTTTGAGCCATATTTATAGAGTGGGCGTGAAAATCAGAACGCCTCAAAAAGATAAGCGTCACACCAAACATCACTTTACATTACCTAATATATTATTTTATTACAAATTGAATGATTGTTGTTTTCATTGGAGAAAAGTTAAAAAAATTGTCTTCCGCCGCTTCAGTCGAAATAACCACTTGTTAAAGCATCCTCCTAAAGACTAAGTCTTTGCCTATCCTCATTTGAAACATTCAGTTGACATCTTGCTGGAATTTGTTCAAAATGATTGACTCTTGAATGGGCCATAACTCAGCCTGTACATCAATCAATTCACTGCGAAGCGCAAAAACATCTTCTTCCAACCTCTTAAAGCAAGGAAGTAGGTCCCGCATAAGCTCATCAGTAGACTCTCTGATCGGTTTCATTGAAGGGTCGACCATTTCCCTTATTTGGTGCTCCATCGAACCGGAGGATAGTTGCAGGCTCTTCAAATGTACTTGTTGGGAGCTGTTGAATGGGTCCATCGATCGGTACACACCCTTATCGATCGATTAAAAAAATGCAGTGACTGGATGTTGTTGTTCATCCACAAGTGTTGGGGCAAAATCAACAATGACATTCTTGGACAACCCACCGGCTCATCTACATTAAGAATAATGTCAATGAATCATTAAAAGTTCCAAAATCAGAAAAATTTACATACCCAAATATTTGTTTAATTCTGAAATGATAACAAAAAACTCATCTGTTCGTTGTGTCAGGAGGGCGTCATCCTTATTTCGCATTAGGGGCGGAAGAAAGTTGATGAGAACCTTTTCTTTCAACCCACCATGACCACTCTCGGTTCCTTTGACAGGTGGAAAAACTTACAGATTTTCCTCAAATATCATGCCAATACTTGGACCAGAAGTAATAATTTTTGGTGAGCGTCCATCTTCAGGGACTTCTTCGGTGTCTGACTATCAGGACTTTCCAAAGAAGCGACTTAATTGCCTGACTCAAGTTCAGGTGTCGACGACTTATGTTTCTTTACAACTTTCTTTTTCTTCTTTTTTAATGATGTCGAGTAAGGAACCTGAAAGCCTTACAAAGCTAAAAGGTGAATGTTGATGCTCTTCTTGCCAGAACCGTCAACCATGTTGTCTTTTTAGGAACCCAAGAGACGTTGAATGAAATGAATATAATGCAAGTCTTCATGCTCTATTTATAGGGTTCACTTGGCATGGAATGCAAGAGAGAATTAACTTTTCATTTACTGTGTTGTTTGTTGCTTGATAATTTTTTTGTCCTTATCGTAATTGTCGCTATCAAGGAGCCAAAAAATTGGAGAACAAATATGTATACAACAAAAATGCCAACACGAATCTCAAATGAATCAAATCGCTAGGAATGGGGTTTCAAGTGACTGAAGTTCCGAGCCAAAGAACGAGGTGTGGATTGACCAAGCAGTCGATCAACTACACAACGAAATCGATTGACGAACCTATTAACCAACGAGCCTCTTACCGAATTGATCAGAGGGATTTCATTGATCGACCGATCCTCCCAGCAGAAGAGATCTCATATATACGACGGTCGACATGACTAGTCAAAACTGAATCATCCGACAATCAATAAATATTATATTTCTTTTGTATTATAATATATTTTTTCCTCGATAGACACGTCGATTCAGTCATTTTGACAGTTATTATAACTATTCTCTATCTTTTTTGTAGCTGTATTTTAGACCCTTATAACTAGGAGGTCAAGACATAAATGAAGTGACACATTCTCTCTCTCTCCCTCCCTCTCTCTCTCTCTCTCTCTCCACTATATTTCTCTCTATTTATCCTCTTAGCTCTAACTCTCGGGTCATATATACAAAAAGAGAAGTTTCTCTCTATTTATCCTCTTAGCTCTAACTCTCGGGTCATATATACAAGGATTCGACACATTATATCATAGGATCACTTTTTTTGGCTCGAGTTTTTAGATTTGAAGTGTTCTTTAGAATAAAATATTAGGTGGGACACGCTCTAATGTTTCTTTGCTCTTTAGACATACATTCTTTTGAATTCTAAGTTGAACCGGCTTGAACCAAGCCGGATCTGTCATTCCGAACCGAACTTCGGGATCGCCCCTTATGTATATAAAATCGGACAGACGTGAAGCCCGATTGTGCCAAGCTGAACCCTGTTCCAGGTCTTCCGGGGAAGACAAGGATCGAGATGGCGAGCGCCGCGGTGGAGAAGACAGCGGAGGAACTAAGAAAGGAGATCGCGGAACTCCAGCGTCAGCAATGGGAGGTTCGATCGTCTTCCTTAATGTTTCTCTGTCCCTTTATTTTCCAATAATTTCTCTTTTTACGCCCCAGAAAGTCCTATCTTAGTCCCTAAGCGATTATGCCTCTCGTTGTGCACAGATAACAGAGCGTCTTCGAAATCCGAGGGGTGTTCGCCGTGCAGCCGCAAGCGCCGGCGGATCACGGATCCGCGGCGTGATCAGACCGGTAAGAAGTTTCTCAATTTTCTTTTGTCGCTTTCAGCTTTGCTGATTTTTCTCCGTCTTTTACACTTCAGGCTCCGGAATCGGAGGAGCAGCCGGTTTCTAAGAGGCGACTCTCTTCTGCAGTTGTGAAGGTTTGTAATCATTTTATTATTATTTTTTTATTTTTTCTTTCCGATTACTTTGCATTTTTTTTTAGTTTTGTTGTGCTGATGGAAAGTTTTTATGAAGGTGGATGGTGAAGAGAGCAAGAATGATAATGCTGAAGCAGGAGATCTCCAGGTTCAGGATACAGCTGTGGAAGTTGGCGCTTCTTCTGGCGGGGAGAGCGCCAGGTTAAGGTCTGGGAGTGGACAGATTAATGGGGGGTTTAGAAGAGATGGTAATGTCCGGTTGAGGAAGATGGTGAGGCTTAAATTTGATACTTTGATTGTTTTTCGTAGGATACTTGTTTTTGTTAATGGTCACTTGTTTTCTCCTTCTTACAAGCAGGACTATGATGCTATTCCAACAGAAACAGTTCCTAGGGTGTTGCCTAAGGAGGATGACCCAAACTTGGTGAAGAGAAATAGAAGGATGCTGGGCCAGCTACTGGGTACACTGGAGGTAGTAATGACTAAGACACAAACACACACATAATTCACCTAAAATCTTTTGAAAACTTTCGCTATTAACATTCGACCTGCTATCTGCATATTGTTTGCAGGCACATATAATCATGTGATGTATAGCTTTTTTAACAATTTTGAATTTGATAACTTTCCAAGTATTTACTGGAGTGTAAAGTGTATGGAATGATGCTATAATATTAAACAATGCATTTCTAAATCTTGTCTTTTTCTGCTGAGATTGAGTTCATCCCTTTAAAGGTGTTTGACAAGGTTTTTTTTTTTTCTATTGAATAAAAATGTCAAGCTGGAAAAATCGTTAACTGATGCAATGAATCTTGCATATTTCTATTTTTTTTACTTTATGGAATGGTCATGAAAAGGGCTTACCTGACAAGCGTTTGCATGCTGTAGGCAGTCAATCTATGATTATTATGTTTGAATGCATACAAATAAACTGAGGGTAGACTAAAGATATTATATATAAAGGATGTTCATCTTGTATATTCTGTAATTCTGTTTTGTTTCAGTTGTTATGAATCATGTTTCTATTTTTTTCTAGCATTGCAAGTGCTTATCGAATAGAGTTGTTGTTTAGAGAAGTTTAACTGATCTATTTGTGTTCATTAGAAATTTCGTGAAGAAGACAAGCAGCTTTCATCAACTGAGGCATATATGAGGAGATCTGATTCATTGAAGAGGGTGAGTGTGCCATTTTCTTTTGACATGCCTCACTGTTGTTTGTTCCTTATGCAAGTTTCATTTTACGCAACTGTTTTTGATAGTTTTGAGTGTCTTATAGCCGCAAAGAAGCTTATATTTTTTCCTTATTTTGATTTGGGGGAGAATTAATTTAGGAAAATGTTAAGTCTGATATCTTGAACCAATTTTGATCAGTATATCCTTAAAAACTTACCACGTGGCATTTCTATTATATTTAAATGGCAAATTATATGATTCCAATTTTGCTACTAAATTTGAATATAATTAAGATTACAACAATCAGGAAGCCTTTATTCACCACGTGAGGTTGGCTACATGAATTCTTTTTCTCTATTGTGTCCTATTGTGTGTCATATTTTCATCTAATTCTAATAAATTAAGATAATTTTAATGCAATAAGGCCAAGTGTTTTTTGGTCTACCTCTATCTTTCTTAACATAAGTTGAATCTAAAACATCTACTCTCCTAACCGGATAATCAGGTGATCGACGTTTAATGTGACCAAACCATCGAAGACGACTTTCTCTAATCTTGTCTGCCACCAGAGCTACACCAACCCTTTCACATATACATTTTCGCATTTTGCCTCTTAGTGTCAAGCCACTAATCCATCTAAGCATTATTATCTCAACAACACTTAATTTAGCTTTATGCTTCTCTTTTAAAGGCCAACATTCTGCGGCATAAAACATTGTAGGTTTCACCACCATTTTATATATTTTTTTTTAAGTCTAAGCGGTACTTTTCTATCACACAATAGACCCGATGCATTCCTCCACTTCAACCAATCCACTTAAATTTTACTAATAACATCCCCCATCTATATCACCATCACTTTGAACAATGGATCCGAGATATCTAAACATTCATAGCTTTTAATGATTTGATCACCCATATTTACAACTCTACCTCTAGATCTGTTACTATTATAATTACATTCCATGTATTTTGTTTTAGATCTACTCAAACGAAGGCCTTACTCTAATGTAGACCTCCGTAATTCAAGTTTTTCCTAAACTTTTTCTCTAGTCGTATCCACAAGAAGGATTTCATCAACGAAAAGCATACACCAAGGTACATCCTCCTGTAACTCTCCAGTAAGAGCATCCATAACTAAAGCAAAAAGATATAAGCTTAAAGCCGATCCCGGATGTACTCCAACTACAATTGAAAAATAATTGGTCAATCCTCCTTCTGTTTGAATACAAGGAACAACTCTAGTATACACATCTTCAATGATTTGAATACAAGTCATACCAACACTTTTCTTTTCCAGAACTCTCCAAAGAACTTCTCTTGGAACCTCATCTTAAGCTTTTTCTAAATCAATAAAAATCATAAATCAATAAAAATCATATGTAAAATCATATGTAGATCCTCCTTGCTCTCTCTGTACTTCTCCATCAAACCTCTCAATAAAAGAATAGTTTCCATAGTAGGCTTGCCTAACATAAATCCAAATTGATTATGCAAAATCTTTGTATCACGTCTTAGCCTATGTTCAACTACTCTCTCCTATAATTTTAATGTATGAGACATTAATTTAATTCTTCTATAATCTGCACACTCTTGTGTATCCCCTTTCTGCTTAAAAATTTGCACCAAAATACTCTTTCTTCACTCTTCAGACGTCTTTTTAGTTTTTAAAATAATATTAAAGTGTTCAGTAAGCCAAAAAAATCCAAAATTGTTTAAATATTTTCACACTTTAACTGGGATATCATCAGTTCTTATTGATTTTTCACCCTTGGTTTTCTTTAAAGCATCATCAACTTTCTTTTTACTAGTGTGACAGTGATAATAAAAAGTTTTATTATTGTTAACTGTATTAAAATCACTAAGATCGATTGTATTATCAGAAAATTCATTGAAAAATTTATCAAAATATCTCATCCACCTATATTGAGTATTTTTCTCTAAAAAATATTTTTTGATTTTTATCTTTAATACACTCAACTTGAATTAAAATTTTTTTCTTTTCTCTTTATTTGGGTGGTTTATACATGTATTTTCCACTCTCTTTAGTATATAATTTATTATGAAGATCGTTAAAAGTAGAATTCTTAGTTTCACAAATAGTTTTTTTAGACTCCTTACGGTCATCTTGTATTTTTCCCAGTTCTCTTAGTTTTTATATTTAAATCAATTTTTATAACAAAATTTCTTATATTTTATTTATTTTTCACATTATTATTCCTAATTTTTCAATTACATCTTTTGCCACTAATTTAATAGTGCTTATTATTTCCCTAAATAAAGTATTAACAATAACAAAATCATAAGCTAAAACAAAATCTAATGTAGTTCTTCCTTCTTCACTAATTATTCCAAAACCATAGCCGCCATAAATATTTCTAAAATCTTCAACCACTCTACCCATATTTCAATTTAAATCTTCTCTACTTAAAATTCTTTCTTCAAGAGGTATATATATTAATTCTTCTAGGTCATTCCAAAATTTTTCTTTTTAACCTATATATAAAACTACTTAAGCAACATAAATATTTATAACATTAAAAATTTTAGTATCAATAATAATCTTTAGCGTTATAATTTTATCTTTAATTCTATTAATTTTTACAATATTATTATTCGATATTATCTCTTTAACTTTTGCTTATAATTACGCCTTTATTATTTCTAGTGCGACTCTTACCTAAGTATCAAAATTTAAAACCTAAGTTATCAATCTCTTTAGTTTTTTTTTTAGCCCATTTAGTTTATTGAATGCATAAGATGTTTATTTTCTTATGAACTATAATATCTACTAATTTCATTAATTTACTTATGAGAATATCTATATTCCAAGATCTTATCATGATATTAGTTTTATGGAATAACTTCTTTGCCCGCATTCGTCCATAATGTGGGAACTCTTTTTTTTTTTTTTGACACTTTAACCAGATGTCGGTGTAGTGGCCCTTGCATAATTTTCACTGTATTCAGACCATACAACGTGTCGCTTTTAGGGGACGCCTAAGCATTTACAGAATAATTTAAAGAATTTATGACATGATTTTGGACAAAAAATTTTATGTTGGTTGTGCACAACCCTCCACTTTTTGCGTCCAGGACTTGGGACTCGGCAATTGCAGTATTAATAAACAAAATATATTTAAGACTATGGCCATGAAATGTATTACAAACAAAATATATGACATTTATATATACTAAGCAGAATAAATGGGATACATTTTATGACCATTTGGATGAAAATTTGTTTTGGATATCATGACCCAATTTGTTTTCCATTAAGTTACATGCAGCATAAGAAATTTTTTGAATGCATTCTGTAATCTCATGCCGCATCTCACATTGAAGCATAGAAGTCGCATGCTTTAAGCTTTACCAGAGCTAAAAATGGCTGCAGATGATTTGTGGAAATTAGATACATAAATTCCAATTAATCCTAAAGTAGATATCTGAAAGTAACTATTGAAGCGTCATAATCAACCAAAGATAGGGTGATGTTGTGGAAATGCTGGTGCAGCATTGTCGTGATGATGCATTTCATACCACTGAAAACTGTCGCTTTTGGCTATTACGTTTGTATGTTCCACGGTTCTTTGTTATGAATATTTATCTTTTCAGGCCTCTACTTTTAATAACTGGAGTTAGCACTTTTGTGAAGCTTTAGTCAACATTTTTGACATGTTATGACTATTTATTGGACTGGAGCATTCCATGGCGAGAATTGTGTTTTGTGAAAGTTTTAAATCTAGATTTTTCAAAATTTTTTGTGTCCAATAAAAAAATTGAGAAATTAAGAGGGTTAATCTTGCAGTATGTGCTCAAATAAATGAATTTTTTTTTTTTTTTTTCTAGGGTGGATATGGGGTATAGAAGACAAATTTTATCCCTAATCAACAATTCTTTGCATGGATAGTTTCATTTGGAAAGTAATTACATGATCTTACTTAAAATATATGTAAATTATTTTTTGTTGCTATATATCCATGACCATTGTGCTAATTAGTTTTTTTTACCTATTAAGTCTATTTTTTCTACAAATACATGGACAAATTGAAGCTTTTATAGCTTCATTTTGAGAATGTTGTAATTTTTTATCCATTATGCATTACTACTCTCACCGCAATGGATGATCTTCTATGTGAGTTTGTTGTCCTTTGTTATGAATCCTTGGCTTGTAGGGTATTTCCTGGTAACTTGTTCACACAAATTAAAATTGTTACATGCCAGATTTTTTAAAAGAAAACACGGCAAAACATTGAAAACTTGGGAAAAAAAGGCCTCATCTACTGAATGGTAACTGTTCTCTAAATATGTGTTTGCTTGCTACAAAGCTGATAGATCCTTATTAGTGATCAAATTTGTTTTTCCACTGGATCATAGTTCAACTAGTTCATTGGGATTTCTTCTATTAATTCGAAATGTTATGATCAATAAGTGTTGTAAATTTTGAAACCTTATATATAAAAAAAAGAACGAAAAAGATGCAAAATGTCAGAAGCATTATACTCCAATGGAGTGAGAATTGAGAAATAGATGTTGCCACAAACATTATACTCCTAAGGACAGAGAAATGCCTATGGCTGATCCTTAAAGTCAAGCTGCTGGAAATTGTGGGTTGTACTATAGTGCAAAGAGATGGCCAAGTTAAAAATTTGTGTTATGGTACAGTACGGCTACTATTTTAATGTAGCTGATCATGAATGGTGATGATATCAGGCTGAGACAAACATACACTCATGTGAACAATGATGAAATTATGATGAGAGTTAATAGCTCTCAAAGTGGTGTGCATGTGTATGCGCGTGTCTATATATATATATATATACCCGCGCATGCTCATGTGTGATGTATGTGTGTAGACACATGCATGTATGTTTTATTAAACAGTAAAATCAGCTTCAAGTTGCATTTTCATATCAATCATTGTAGAGTTTTATAAACAAATATATATGTTTTTAGTCATAAAATTAAAAATACTAGCTTCGGCAGTGCAAGTGCAAAAGGTATCTCTCTTTCTCTCACGAACACACACAAGATATGTGTGTGTGTGTGTGTGTGTGTGTGTGTGTGTGTGTGTGTGTGTGTGTGTGTGTGTGTGACCTTTTGTCTTCAAATTTTAATCAGTGATGGTGAGCTTTAGAGGAATTTTGCATTTTAAAAGAGGGGCGGGGAATAAGTTGTGAGGACACCTGATCTAGAAGATGATAAAAGATTTACAGTAATTTGATAATATCTTATGTAGTTGAGTATAATTTGAACGGGTATCATTGTGCTTTGGAGTTTAAGGACTAAAATGTAAGAGAAGTGGTGTTCAAGTAAATATTCAGTAGGGTCAGCTAGTGTTGGAACTAGTTCATTCAACTAACAAGTTTTTAGTTTTTCAATGTTGTTTAGAGTGCCTTAGGTAGCTGGTTTTAAGCAGGATCTATACAGGATTTATGCTAAATCCTGCCAAAAGGCAAAAAAGGCAAAAAAGTCAATGGTAAATCCTATAGTCTTAAATCCCATTTTTTCTTTGTTTTGCCTTAAATCCTGGATTTAGTAAATTCCGTTGAAAGATGGATTTATGGGATTTGGAGAAGCTTAAGCCCTGGGAAAGATAAATCCTACTAAAGTTGCCAAATAGCTTCTCCAAATTTATTTGGATTTATTTATTAACATTTCAAACAGTTTTCAGGATTTAAGATTTCATAAATCCGAATTTACAAGATTTACTAAATCCTATTTAAACTAAATCCTACTTGCAACCAAAAGCCCTAAAGGCTTGGCTTTTTTTTGAAAAGGGCTATCTGAACCATGTAGGCTTGGTTCCTCTTTTAGGCTGGCTTTTTCTTGTATGGTTTAGTGCAATCACTTTTCGTTATGACTCCATTAAGCTCAACACCTTGAATGTTTTAGAGTATCAGAATTAAGAAGACACGATTGTTTTTTGAGCTATGCCAGCTTTAACATTAGAAACCTTGCTAACAACTAGTTCTATTTGACTGGTCATGCCTCCTCCCAATTACCTTATTGATGTGAGCAAGCTAATATGTCGTGCTCTACTACCAACTAAAATTGCAAAAAAAATTACAATTTAGTTAAATGAGCATCGAAGGTAACAAATTAAGCAAGTTCAATAATCAGGGAATGTCCATGGTGTGTTCAATAATGCTAAAACAAACATGATATTTATTTTTTCTCAACTCCTTTATTTTTATCTTAAAAGATAAATAGTATAACCTTATGTCATCTATAGATCTCTCTGAAGGAAGAGCCTTATTGAGACACAAATAAGACATTGGATGATTATCTTGTGTAATTGAGAGCCCACATACCCATTATTGATTTTTTCTTGATAGACCTTATATGTTTTATGGGAGTAGGCTGAACAGAAAGCCCGTGAGGAAAGTGAGAGGCTAAGGCAACAAGAAAGAGAGCAGATTTCTGAGAAGCGCAGACGTGATTTGGTAATTATATTGGATATAAAGTAATATTGCTCATTCTGTTATCGTTTTTGGCGTATTAAATCATCTTTATATCTTCTTCAAATGTTTAATCTATAGACCCTTCGAGCTCGTGTTGCTGCAAAGGCGGAGGAAAAGAAATTGGAGCTTCTGTTTCTCTTGTGGGCTGAGCATCATAAGAAGCTCTCCAATTTTTTAAGGTACATGAAACGTAGCAAAGGCCTCTAGAAATTCTTCCCTTATTTCTTAGTGTTAGTGTTGCATTCTTCTTTTATTGTTATTTCTATTTGTTTAGTTTTCCTGATGGATTATACAATACTGATATATTGAACTAATATTTCTATACGAACTGCAGGTTATTTTTAATCTTGGTCCAAAGTGTCCTATTGACAATTTTAGTTGAGACAGATAAGTTTCTGTTTCTATAAGTAGTTGAAATTCAGTGTGACTGAAAGCATTCCTACATGGTCTTGCTCTAATTTGAATGGTTACTCTTTTTTTTATTCTATATTGTTCGTGATCTCATATTCCTTTTTGTTTGGTTGCCTTTTTTGTCAGGACAAAAGCAGAACCTCCCATATATTACATGCCAGTCAAGCCTTTAGTTGAGGATGCAGCTTTTATGAGCCAACATAAGGAACAGGTAAATATTTTGATGCTCACGGTTTGCTTTGTTGGCTACTACTTCTACAATTTTTATAAAACTAGAACTTTGTTTTTTGGTTTTGCAAATTTGTTTTCTATTGTACTTGAGTTTAGGATATAAATGTCTTGGACACTTCATTGGCCATTCAGGCTCTTTTAAAATTCTTGTTCTTCTTATTAATGGAGCTATTGATTTGACTAAAATGTTCAATTTTGTTTGAAAATTGGATCGATTTTTATCCAATCGAGCTTAAATTGAAATTAACTAGGCAAATAAAAAATTGAGTTGATTCAAGCTTCAATATAAATTTGCTAGCTTGAGGTTTAGTTGAAATTTAAATGCATATATCTATCTATGCATGTATCGATATATTCTTATGCAATTATATTTTTATATATTCATCCATCTATATATTGATGTATTTATGTATGTATGGGTGCAAGAAAGTAAGATTAAGTATTTGTATTTCAGGATAAAAAATCAATTCAATATTGAGATAACTTGAAATGAATGAGCCAAAGTTGACTCAATTTGAGCCAACCTATATCTAGCATTGTTTAATATCTAGATTGGATGGAATGACTTGGCGCTAATATGAGCCAAGGTGGATAAACTCATGAGATCATTAACAACTCTGGAAATGGACGTGTTAACGATTGTTTTTGGTTCAAGGTTATTGTTGAGAGGAAGATACTTGGTAGTGATGCTTATATTTGTTAGTGTTATGGTTGAATTAGTATTTTAAACATTGTAAGGATATTTTCAGTAAACAAATTTTCTTTTTATTTCTCCTCTCAAATTGTATATCTATGTTGTTGTCATGTGCCCAATGTGGTCAAACTCCACTTATTTTCACATTGTTGCTCTGTCGGAGCTTCTTCAATAGAATTCCTACAATAGGAACCATGAGAGCTGGATCATCCCCTTAAAACCTTGCATTATATTTATAAGTGTTCCCAAGGATGATCTCCATTCCAGAGGATGCTCTTAGGTGGGGTGCTTTAGAATTTCTTTCCGTGTATTTTACACCTGTCAATTGTATGTAGGAGTAAATTTTTCTTTTGGACCACAATAATGGCTCAACATACTTCATCACAAATTTTGAAATATGTTGTTTTCTCAATTGGTCGTGTTTAGGATATGTACTACCGTTTATGGTATTGTCTATCCATGCATGTATGGTACATGCCAATTTGATATTTTGGAGAAGTAATGACCCTTATGATGACATCCCATCTGTTGTTTCTCAGCATGTCTTCTTTAACTTTCAATGCTTTAACATTATCTATATTCAAGTTGAGCCTAGTGTTTTGAGCTATGTTAGATGGTTTGTAGGACTATGGAATCAATTGGCCATAATTATGAGGCATTTCTTAAATGTTCAGAAGTTTGTTTAGGAATTCTCCCCGAGCATATGCTCAAAAGAGTTTTTTCGCTTTTCATTCCAATTGTCTTGCTGAGCAATGTAATGGCCAATCTATTCAAGTACCCCAGGTCAAGTGGATCCTTTTGGTCATTAACTCATTTAATCTTGTGCCACTACATCCTATCCTGACCTAATTTAGTCTTCCCATTCATCCAAATGAAACCTTCAAAAGTGCAAATTTATCTATTTGGCTCAAATTGCTCCTTTCAAGGTGGATTAGTGCTCATGTTTGTCCGTCTTATGTTATCAGGCAACTCAAGCCACATGAACGAGTTGTTATGAGCATGCTTATGACTCTTCTGTCTCTCTTTTGGTTTGTATTTGATGAAATAATTTTGATAAGTAATTTGAGATGCGGAGCGTAAAATCTATCAAGCTTGGATCATTTATTATTCTGGGTTTCCTTGGTTTCTTGTTGACAAAAAGTGTCTGATCAATAATGTTTTTGAAAGATTGAATACTTTAGTTTGCTGATCTTTTGTTTTTGTCTCGTTACCTCTTGCGGACAACTTGTAGCATGATTGCAAGGATTGACTTGCTTGCTTTCTCTATACTCCTTTTTTGTTGTCTTGTGAACTTGATTTGAATTCGAGTGAACCGAACTTGATCCTTTGAATTTTTATTCCTCTTGGAGATAAACTTGTTGCTTGGTACTCAACCAGTCAGGTTTAAAAAAGTTAATCTAGTTATATTAAATTTGGTAACATTTACCCATTCCTTAGAAGAATTAAAATTGTAATATGATTTATTGAAGATTTTAGGTCTTCATTTAATGTCCAGTGCCTTCTCCTCCATTCACTTGTGTGACTGTGTCTCATCTTGAGCACGAAACATCAATTCCCATTTTTGGGGGGCATTTACATACATTCCACACAGTTCGTATTTATTTACGTATGTAACACCAAAGCATTTATAATTACATGCACACCAGTTAAATCTTTAACATTACATAAAAATATCACTATCGGTATCTTCTTAAAAGTGAAATACACCTTTTCATGCATAGATTTATGACACCAAGGTCTTGTAAATGTAAATATTAAACTTTGGGTGTCAGATATGTAAATACATAGTAATTGTATGGCATGTATGTAAATTTCCATCTTTTCTTTCTTTTGTTTTAGGTTTTTGTTGAGAGGTAGAGTATGATGGTAAGAATGCTCACATAGGGAGGCATTTTGTTGTTGATTTAGTAGTGTCATTCAAACTCCTACACAATATTTAACCCCTTTAAGAGAATCTAGGATAGTCAAATCACCCCTTTTTTAACACATTTTATTTTAGGAACATTTACATTTCTTATGTATTTATAAATCTAATACCTATACTTTATTTTTCACATTTATACCACCCAAATCTTTCATATCACATAAAAATACCCCTATTTTAATTTTGAAAAGTGAAATTCACCTTTTCATGCATTATAGGTAAATTGACACGTAAAAATTGAAGTTTAGATTGTTACATAAATAAATACCTAAAAAATGAGTGGCATGCATGTAAATCTTCCTTTCTCATCCATTCCCAGGACGATTACCCTCAAAAAAACGGCAACTTGCTCCTCATATGGTTATCCAACCATTTTTGTGCTTCATTCACATGTCGAGCGTATAAAGAGATGAATCTTTCTTTTTTACGAAGGTAATAGTCGACAACTTTTATCTAGGGTTTATAAATGCATTATCGCTACAATTGGTCACCTCTTCGATGTCCGCTTTCATCAGCATAAATTTTATTCTTGCATCTTGGTCATTTAAAAAAAGAAATATTGCAAGATGAGCCCTGATCATTTCAAAATCTGGATTTTACCGCCCTCTTTACATTCATAATGGGTGGATTTCATAAGGGGGATCCCCTTTTGTGCCAAGCATTATTGCATTAACTGAAATCAATTTCACCATTTATATACTAAAACAATAAATAATCTATCACCTTGGCCACTTCCTACAGGCCCTTCAAGAATGGAAGTCCTTGCGAAGAGCGGAGCTGTCCGAATACCAGAAACAGATTGAAGAGAATTATATCTCTAATGTGGACAAGGAGCTCGAAAGGTGGCAAAATGCAAGGAACGCGAGGAGATCGAACAATCTGGTTAATCTCCAGGAAACCATGGACAAGGAGCTTGAGACACACAGGTTAGAACATGGCCCCAAAACGAGGAGGATAGCTGGAACCAATGATGAGGATGAGGATGTAGAAGATATTATTGTCGACGATGAACTCATTGACGAGGTCCTTGAGCCGCAGGACAGGCATGAGACCGACTCAACTAAGGCCCCAGAAGCAGGTAACGGTAGTTCTGTTCCAGCTTGAGAGAAAACCATTAAAAAAACATTGTTTTTCTCGTATCCGTAATGATCTTACTCTTAATTTCTTGGTGTTTAGAGGCTTTCCTTTTATCTTTGATATGATTAAGGTTTTGACTTGAAGATTGTGTGCTTGAAATGAAGGCGTTTTTGATGTGTTGTGCTTGCTGAGGTTACTATGGAAGATTATAGATGCAGCTGATTTCTGCGAATGTTAGCTCTTTTTTTTTTTTTCACTCTTTTCATTTTTGGCAGATTCCCAAGTCATTTTTCTTAATTGTTGTTTGCTTATTGATAGGGATTTCACATTTGGTACGCATTCATAGGATATATTTAGGGCAGCTGCAGGCTGCTACAAAAAAAAAAAAAGGAA